CTTTTGGAACGTAAGCTAACAGCTTGATAATTTTAATTAAAACATTTGATAAATATTCATACTAATTTGTCTATGATTTGCAACATTTTTTTTCACTTGAGATCAGCCTCTGCACTGGGTATTCTCACATGTAGGTTGAATTAGCAGTTCTATTTTTCAGTGTACTTGCAACCATAGTTCCCTGGGTTTTATTTTAATAATCTATGCAATATTCTTTACAGCTTTCAGTTCTTTTGCATAATTCAGTCAGTTCTCTTGAGTTAGCTCTCATATGTATCAACAGAACTCAGCCATGTGGGTTCCCTGACCAGTAGGAACTACTTCCTCTAAAGAATAGTTCATAAATCTCATAGAATGACTAAGGTTGGAAGGGACCTTGAGACTTATCCAATTGCAGCTCCCCTGCTAAGGGCAGATACCTCCCTCCAGCTCAGACTGTCCAGGGCCCCATGCAGCTTAACTTTGGACGCCTCCAGAGATAAGGGCATCCACAGCTTCGCCGGGCAGTCTATGCCACGGCCTCACCAGCTTCTGAGTAAATAACTTCCTCCTAATATCTAGCAAAAATAATCTCCTCTTCTAACTTAAAACCATTTCCCCTTTTCTACCTCTGTAAAAAAAAAAAAAAAAAAAAAAAAAAAAGTCTCCTTCCTGCTTGTATGCTCCCTTCAAGTACAAGAAGGCTGCAATGAGGTCTCCCTGGAGCCTTCTCTTTTCCACACTGAATGAACCCAGCTCTCTCGACTCTTCTTCGTAGCATCCCTTGACTAGTTTCTTCTGTCCACCAGTCTTTGATTAATATGCTGTACAAAAATACAGTATTCTTGTGGTAGCTGCTTTTACGCTTTGTGATCAGCAGAGATTGTGGAAATGCGATTCTGATGTACAGATTATAGAAGAGAAATGAAAAACTGAATTCCAATTTGTCCTTAACAGACAAATTTACTGGCACAAACCAATATTTGAATAATATTGCCAGAAACATGACCTATAGACCTATATTTACACTGATACTGTCCTTATATGAATTTAGCTAAGCTCCACAATTATAGAACGCATACAACATCATTCTGTGGTATGAACGTCTGTTCTTAAATTGCTTATAGAAACTGATGTACAAGTCAGCTACTTGCTGAGATGTGAAAAACAGAAAAGCTGACCATTTTTCAAGGGAGATTTGCAGCTACAAAAGAAGTGCTTCTTCTGCACAGGGTCATGACTGAGTACTTGCTAATTTTTTTTTGAGAATTATGTAGCAGTGGATGACAAATAAATAGGCGAAAATTAGTGTGGCACTGAAAGAAATCACTTTGTGGAGAGAGAAGACATTGCTTCTGAATTCCAGAGCTACTTTGGAGAAGAATGACATAGAGATTTCACTGTTTTGTGTCCTTAGATTTGGAGTTGTCAGTGGAAATATAGGACTGCTAAACATATAACATGATTTGTCACCTAGTTGGAAACTGGGTACATAGCTGAGAACAGAATAATTGAATTAATTCTCTGAGCTGACACAAAGTCTTGCCCTAACTTTTGTTTCTTAGTATTCCAAATTGCTGCTTCCTCACTTGCAGCAGTACCTGCTCTAGGACCTGTGTATGAATATTTGAAGTTGAAGAGGTTGGCAACTTCTTTCTTGCAGCTTCAGTGTCCCAGTGTGTGATGCTTTTTGAGGACTGAAAGAAGTGGTTGCAAGAGTTAGTATTATCTGCAATATAAAAAGGATGTTAAGATACTTAAATGCAACTAGAAGGCAGTAAAACTGGTAACAGGGCTGGAAGGAGTGTGCTGTGAGGAGAGACTGGGGCACTTGGGCTGCCTGCTCTGGAAAAGAAGAGGGCAAAAGGTGACCTCACTCCTCTCAATGAAACCCTGAGGAGGGGAAGCAGAAGGAGGTGCTAGACTCTGCTCCTGAAAATCCATGGCAGGATGGGAATAATGCAAAGCTTCACTGGGGATGTTCAGACTAGACATTAGGAAATAGTGTTTGACCACTCTCACGGTAGAAAACTGAAACGGGCTTCCTAGTAAGGTGGTTGATGCCCAGAACCTGTCAGTGTTGAAAAGGAAGCTGTCATCTTATCAATAACATTTTAATTTCTTGTTAGCCATGAAGTGCTTAGGCAGTTAGACTTGATCTTTGTAGGTCACTCCCAGATGAATGATTCTAGCTTTGTCTAGTCTTTTTCAGCTGGTGCAGCAATTCATCAGAGCATGGTCAGCCACTAGTGTGGGCTAATCTGAGTTCACTGTGACTTCTGCTTACTATATTCATTGTAAAATAAGCCATTTCATCTGCTCAGCTTCAGTGCAGCTTGGGGAGAGAGGCTCCAAGTTTCCCCATCCTTTAAGCCTACATACTTGTCCACAGCCTGCAGTGAAAACATGGGATCTGACTAGCAAAGAATTGAAAACTGATAACAGATGATAATTCCTATGAAAGATTTGTTTTACTCTTTCCGGATTAAATAGTATCAAAATACCAAGATGGCCTCCTTCTACAAGTGATCAAGATTCTAAACACTCTTGTTGTTTTAAATGCATTTAATGATCAAACACACCCACAGATAAGTGAATCTTTAAAAGTAAAATAACTTGCTAAAGCAGAAGCAAGATTAGAGAAAACAGTCTCAGATCATCAGATTCCCATTTATTTATTTATTTTAACTTTTTTTTCGGTTGTTTATAATGATTAATGACAAACAAATCATCCTCATTATCAGCTTCCTTGTCTCTCTGATGGCACTCAGAAATATATTCCAAAACTGTTCTCTAAGTAACAAATGCTTGTTTATTTTTATGAATGTAACTCTACCAGCTTTTCAGCTAGAAAACTGAACTCATCTATCATTTGTGAATTGTAAGGTATTGAATTATGAGCCAGAGCCTGATTTGTAGACACAAACATCTACAGTACGCAGCCAGCTGGGCCCAGGGATGCCAGTACAATTGGTGCTCACAAGTTAGTAAGAGAGCTCATTTAACTGTCTGTCTTTGAAAACTGAGCTCCTACATTTCTAATTTAGTTTGGCACCTTTGGAAAAGACATCCTGGGTCTTTGTTACAACTGAAAAATAGATTTGCGTGCTTGGAATTCATTTAGATAGCATATGTTGCTTCAATTGTTATTAAGTCAAAAGCATTACAACACTTTGTCAATAATGCTGCATAATATTAGCAATTAATTGGAGGCATCTTTTGTTGTAAAAATAAATAAGTTCTTAACTACTGTCCCATATGTGTGCTTTTTAATGCAAGCCCTTATAGTGTTAAATTACAGCTGCTGAGGTAAAGGTGGAATTCAAATCAAATTAGTGAATAGAAATGTTCTCAAAGAGATAACATTTGAATTTACTGAGCCTATGTAGTAGTTTTTGGAAGGATTAGACATTCTGGTTTGCACTTTTTTGTGGAGAGCATAATCTGCTGTACAAGTATGCACCTCTTAGAGGCAATTTATAATTAATATAATTGCTTAATGGGACATTTCCCTTGACCATAGCATGCCACACTGCTCAAACATCTTACACTTCAGTGCATTTTTGAAAGGCCACTGGTATTTCTCAGACAGGAGAGTAAAAATGTTTCCAACAAACAGATCATCCTGCGTCACTAAAGCAGGTCAGTAAGTTGATCATGAAATCCCAAATCTCATACCCTGCATATGTTTGGATTGCTAATATATTTTCTAGTTGCCCAGTTCAAAATATCTGTTCAGAAGCTATTCCTTCACTGATATGAGCTCCAAGTGTTGCTTTTAATTTATGATAAATTGTGAACAATCCAGTGGCCTTTCTTAGAGTGCTGAGGGATCACTAAATAATACACGTAATCTATTGTTATTATGTAAGCTGTGTTTTCTACTGATTCTGGGGTGACATCACTTTCAAATACAGAAGAAGCCAACTGAACTGGAGAGTGAGTGGTATCTCTTCATTAGGAATTGAGTTGAGCTGTTTTCATAAAATAATCACACTTCAGTTTCTCACCTTTTCCTTATTTGCAAAATTGTAATCAAATGACTCCAAGAGTTTTATAAAGCTTTTATTAACAAGTAAATTATTTACAACTTTAAGATTACACAGAACTATCTTCAGATCACATGGATTTCAGTGACTGTTTCTGTTCAAAACAAAAAAAATTCAGAAGAAGGGAAAACATACACAAGAATAAAAAATTACCCTGGAAATTTATACGCATACATATAGGTATATATTTTTAAATACATAGAGAGATTCGAAAAACAAGTATTTTTCATTATGGGAATTAGAAACAAATTTTATTTTTGACCACGTAAAAATTACAAAACAAAGCAATATGTATCTTTTCATTTAACTCAAAATACGTGGTAGGAGAGAATGGGAGTACCAGGAGGAGAGAGTTATTTCTGTTGAGAAAAGCATTTGCATTTCTATTTGAGCAGCAGGTGTGATTTGATTTGCTAATTCAACAAACTGAAAAATCAATTATTAATATATCTCTAACTTGTCTACCTAAATAGAAGGTTTTCTTAGTAATTCCAAGCTGAATATGAAATGACTTGTTGTAGTACTAGGGGAAAAAGTCTTGATGGCATTCATTTGTTGGTTAGATTTAAGATTAAGAATACAGGCACAAACCTAGCCAATCTTTTGAAATTCTGCTTCTGTCTTTGAGATGGGGAGAAGCAAAGAAATTTGTATTGCTATGGTATTGTTTCTCATACATATATCAGGAAATGATTATATCAGAGACTGAGATGATATCCATTCTTCTCAGAAGTTACTATGTATTATTTACAACTTTTCCTTCAAGTCTTCTTTTTACAGTATAGAATGTGTTAAATCAAAAACTAAAGAACAGAGTTTAATTCAGTGTCATTTTTGGAAGTAATTAGTTAATTTTGTTCTTAACTTTGTGGTTAAATAAAACTTAAAGGCTGTGTAAGGCACAATTTTTGAATCTTGAAGCAATGACATGTGCAAGGCAAAACCAAGATTGACATTGATATTTATTTTTAGGAAACTTGCTACTGAGAGCATCAATGCAACTGAGGTCAGTATTGCATTTTTCTGCTGCTTCAAGTTGCCAAACAAATGAATGTCTTTGTACTCTGCTTATCTTTTACTGTTTGTTTTTTTTTTTTTAGAAACAAGCATCAAAATAACAAAGTGTATCAATGCTGTGTGCTAGGTTCTGTTAGACATACAGTATGTCAAATGAATGGGACCACTACTGTTTTCACTTGTTTCAGTGGAGTTTTCCTAATGGATTTTCAAGTGGACAAGTATCAATAGGAATATATTATAAAAATAAATGTTTAATACAATCCCATGTACAGTGTACAGTCCCATGAATGGTAACAACCGTTGTTATGATATCAGCTAACCCCCTCACCTTGACAAATTAGAATAAGGAATAGTAGTAATCATTATTTGAACAGCTTTCAGTGATTAAGCTATTCAATACGTTACACTGGGTTAAGCTGTAAGAAAATGCTGATTTGTGCTTTGTAAAGGCATTCAGTGGAACAATAAGCTGGAAAAATACTCTTTTAGTGAACATATTCAACACTAATAGATTTAGTATGTATTTTTATTATTTTTTGATGTATTTACTCTACTTGAAAGTGGAACAACTACAGTAAAATAAAATTAATTGCAGAAACTGCATATATAAAAGAAATATTTTACAGGTGATGATGGTTTGTGTAGCTCAGTGGGGGAGAAGAGCTTGTCATAGAGAGTGTTTTCAGTATTTGATCTATGGTTTTGCTCATCTTTGAGGATGAAAGTGGGTCGTATTGCATGTGCCTGACCCTTGAGGGAGGTGAGTGTAGGCTGTGCTTTATTGCAGTTGTTGGCAGAGCAGTTTTGAAGAGTATCTCAAATCCTAAAAATACATTTGTTTGTTCTGTTGTCCAGTGGTAAAACTTCCGTGCATAAATAATGCCTGAGAGTAAATTGCCACTGAATATAGCTAATTAAACTAATGCTAATGGTAGCCCTGTGTTTTTTTCTTCTAAAGCATCTGCTGTACTCATGAGCATGAAAGAGGAATACTGAAATACAAATGTTGTTTTACTAAACCTCTGTGTTCGCTAATTACGGAAAGGGCGTAAGGATTGAAACGGAAGGTGGAAAAAAGAACATACAGTAACGATTGAGCTTTCCTTAGGGTTCTATTTCTATTACTGCGTATTTGGGAAATGAATAGAATTATTTTCAAAGTACTTTATACTTGTTCAAAAGCAAAACATATAAAAGAAAATTATGTTTGGGGGTTCTGGAAATTGAAAATATCTATTAATATCCATTAATTCTCTTTCAATCATTAAAAAAAAAAAGTATGATACTTAACAGAACTGAAGGACCTTTCATATAACAGTCTGCTGCTTTGATCAATCCTGTTATTGTTGTTGCTTGAAAAAACTCCTCCTACTGAAAAAGCTACCCTAAATCATGAAAAAGTGTTTGTTTCAGGATTACCATGGTATCCTTTACCTGGATCCATGCATCTAATCAAGCCTGCTATCTTTCCTTCATCTTTTGTCATGCTTACCAAAATAAGGATAGCTACTGCTCTAGCTGTCTTATTTATATATCTTTCCCTTCTCCTCATCCTCACATTTAATTAAAAGCTTGCTGTTGTCTGGTAGGGCAGACAGATGTCAATTTTCATTAAAAATGAACTATAAAGAAGGCAGCCTTCAAAAATACAGCCATCTTAAAAAAAAAAAAATAATAAAAATCCTCAAAGAGGATTATGGACAGTAACAATAGCTATCATGCAGTGCTTTAGTGCTTGGGATTTAAAGCTTCACAGTGAACTCATGTTTCTGCTTATATGGATGATACAGAGAATGGATGCAGCAGTCCCAGTATCAAAATAGCTTTCTATGAATTGTAAGGGGTACCTTAGATCTGTGCCATTGATGGAGGGCAAAATACAAAATCCTGAGCAGCTCAAATGAGACTGTAGGCATGTGGATAATGTGGATATGTATTGTGTGTATACGTGTACATATAGAAGTAGACATAAACCTGGAGTAAAATCTATTGTGGTATCTGTATACATAATCTTGCTGTCCATTGAAAGATGGGTCTTTGAGAGTATGAAGCATGTGCTTATTTTTTTATGGAGTCACTTTATTGCTCTTGGGATGGGGCTCAATCATCTTTAGTTTCCCACTATATGTTCGTAGGGTGGAACTGAATGATTTTTTGTTTGCTGTTGTGATGTATTCACAATAATATAGCTTAACGTCTTTCAGCATTGTTACATTTTTACAGCTTTTAAAAATGTACACAGTGATCTTGCTGTGATTTTGTTCTTTGTGTGTTTGGGTTAATTTGCTTAAAACCAAAAGGCCAACATCTGCAGCAGTGCAGAAAGTAATTCTGAAACTTCAGTATATATTCCTTTGCGCACACTGACTTCTCCATTTTTACATTGGAAGCGAGAAGAAACAAGATTGTGTATCAGCCAAAAATGTTAGTTTTCTCATATTTCTCAGTTCATTGCAGTAAGCATATAGTAAAAATCTGACATGATCAGCACTTATTTTTGTTTTCAAACTGAAAAACTAGGATGAAATGGCATAAATAGTCAGAAATGAGACTCAGTGTAGTTTTACTTATTAACAGTATAAGGGCTAGCAGAGGTGTTTACTGTACTTTATTGCTTATGCTGTTGTCATTAATTGCTGTTGTCAGTAATTGTATTGAAATGATGTATTGTTCTAACTCTTGCCATGGTCTGAAATAGGCTTATTTTCTTTTGCTTGTTTCTGAGCTTTCGTGTAATATAGTGAAATCAGTTTAACCTTTGACATTTTAACCAGCAGATTGGAGAGCAGCCCTAGTGAGTTTATCCAGAAGAGCTTGATTGCTCTGTTGGAAAGTACATATGCAGATGTCAGTGACTGAAGTGAATTAGCCATCTTGAAAGGCACTTGAATTTATGCTGAAGTTTAAGTTCTGTTCTTTGAATAGGTCCCACAGTAACTGAATTCTCATATTTTGCACCAAAAAATGTCATACCTTATGCACAGAACTGAGAAAATCCCCTGACTGTTAAAAAAAATGTTGAGATGGCTTTTGAGAAAAGAATATCTGACACCACCTGTAGCAATCTTCTCATTCTCTGTGTTCTGATATTTCCATATCGAAATTGATTTCTATTGCTGACCTTGGGATGACACACAAGATGACAATGTGCTGAGCATTCAATGTCATTTCAGCTCCTGGATATTTGTTGAAATTTTCAGCCTTTCATTCCTGTTGCCTGACAGAGCTGTCTTCCCATAGTCAAATCTTTCTATGTACTGGTTAGCTTCCTGCAAGCATTGTGCTAAATGAAAAGAGGATCCCAGAGGAAGGATGCAGCACCAAAGCATCAGACAAGGTTATAATACATGTTAGTTCAGTCCATCCCTGAGAAAGACCTTCATCTTTCAAATACTGACTCTTGAGATTCCACTGGACATTCACTACATGCTTTGTTGTCACTTCTGAAGGAAAGGCAGGAATACCAAGTTTCCTGAAATTTTATTGAGGGAAATTGCTGCCATGTCTTAGTAGAAGATAGTAGAAGATTAGAAATGCAAGTGCTATTGATTCCTTCCCCTCTCTCCCCCTCCCTCCCCCCTCACCCCCCCAGCGCACACATACAGTAAGAAAGAGACAAACTGAGATTGAAGAACAGGATGTTACAAAAGTGGAGGTGAAGTAACAGGAGTTCCTTTAGAAAGTATGGTCTTGAAGAACAGTAATAATAACTGGTCTTTAACGTCTTAAAGAAAGGAGTCATTTGAACTGAAGTCCTATTTTGCTGAATCCTATTCGAGTAAATAAGTTTGAGATGAAAGAATTTCAGTGTATCTATTTTAGTTGAATAGCTATGGGAGATGTCTGTCCTCTTTCACAGTCTAATAATTGGCTCAAATGCTGCTTCCAGTTAAGCAGCTCCTATTGACTTAATGAGAATCTATACTGTGCTCATAAGTTTAGAGTGGGAGGTCAAGGTCGGAGCAGGTACCTTCATGAAAGTACTGATGACAGATTTAAAATATTAATATATTAATATATTAATAAAAAACCATTGTCTGAACATGAGTTTCATTTTCTACAGTATATGTTTAATAAGACACCTGAAGTAAAATCCTTGAGAGTCTTACCATCAGAAGCAAAATGCTGCAACTCCCTGTGAAGGTGGTGTGCTATATTTTCTCAGGATTTCTGTAGGTTGGTCTTTGTCACTGACATAGAGGGGTGTTTTGCTATGAATGTGACATTTCTGAAGAGATCTAGACTTTTTTTAGTTCTAATAGTGATTGAGAAGTTCTCCAGCAATAAACCTCTGTTCCATCTAACACGCTGTTTTGACAAAAATAGGGCCAATCCGGTGTTCTTGATACACTGTTGTGTAAAATCTTTGTTATGCCTCTAAATGCAGTTTTTAGAAAGGACTTTAAATTTATAGCTGTAACTGATGCTTGTTTATGTTTTTCTGCATATGTCCTTCCTTCATATTTCAAAGACCATTTTATATCCATATGCGTATGTTAGTGAGCTTTCCATTTTTATGCGTATTTTTAATTTCAGGGAATATACATAGATAAGCTTTGCAATTGTGCAGTATTTAGCCTACGAAGACAGTTCTGTTGTCAGGGAACTCTCACACCTCCTAAGGTTTGACTGGCAGGAACATGTTTTCCAGTTGAGTTCTGCCAGTGGTATTTGTGTATGACAAATAGGACCTCGAAAGGGAAGAGATTCAGGCAAGACAGTGTGATATACCCTTCTGCAGAAACATAAATGATTTATTATATAATTCTGAATTATTAATGTTTCATCAGATGGACTTGAAAAGCTTCAGCACATTATTGTAAACACTGCATCAGTTCTGACTGACTCCAGGTAAGATTAAAGTAAAAAAGCAAGGTAGAAAACCGAGCTGACTATAGTGACTAAAAATCTCTGAGGGTCACAAAAGGAAAGAGCTTTGATCAGTGTCATCAGAAGAGTGTTTAAAAAAAAAAAAAAAAAAAAAAA